TCTCTCTCTCTCTCTCTCTCTCTCTCTCTCTCTCTCTCTCTCACACACACACACACACACACGCGCGCGCGCGCGCACACACACACACACACACACACACACACACACACACACACACACACACACACACACACACACACACACACACACACACACACACACACACACACGGCAACCAGCAGAGCGCCCCGTTGCGCAATCATGCGTGTGCGTGTCGCAAGAGTGTGAATTGGATGTCCGGACGCGTAGCCCAGCGGCTCCTTGTCTGGAACCGGTCGCGTAGCCACGGCCTAAATTTTAAAGTCATGAAATTAGATAGCTATACCAAGGATATACAGTATATACCAAAAATATGACTAGCACATTATTTACATTGTGGATCTTGCTACGTTAGGCCTACTCTTAATAATAATAACACTACCATCAACATCTATCGAAATATACAAATTAGTAAGTTATACTATTTTAAAATGTATACATTTCTTATGCACCATTTACAATCAAATCCAATAGTGAAATTCAAACTCCTCTGTCGCCAACGTTTCAACATTTTCCATTACATATTTTTTAACGCTATACTTAAAACGATTATAGATAGTATTTGCCCTGATATATTATGTTGTGGTAGAGCGTTCTAAGCCTCAAATGCAGTATAGGTAAGTTTTTCCCACTGCTTCAAACCCTTGGTTTGAATATTGACATCTCACCTTCCCTAGCTGGTATTGAAACTGGAATTGCATCTGCCATATCATACATTAGGAATAACAGTGGACACAAAATCGAGACTTTTTATTTTTTATTTATTTATTTAGGAAATTATCCATCATATACAATAAATACCATACTTTTACAATAAAATTCTGAATTCATAAAATTGGATAACTACCAAGGATATATACACAAAAAGCATAACTAGCTCACTTATTTACATTGTGGTTCTTGTTTTGCTATGCCTTGCTGTTACTAACAATTACACTACTATCAGCACTAACTATTGAAATATACAAATTTGTAGTTTTAACCGGTCATACAATGGTACATTTTCATAAGACGATACAAGCTTTTCTTATACCTAATTTCAACCGAATTCTTTTAGCGAAAATCATACTCCTCTGCCTCTAATGTTTCTACCTTTTCCATCGACTTGTGGTGTGCATTAACGCATTTGTGTATACAAAATGGTTTGATAATGTAGGCACATTTGAATAGGTGTGTAACGCAATAAACCATTTGAAGATCCGGATGAGGATGAGGACCGGAGGTGGTGTTTATTTTAGTAACAGACCGGTGGCTGTTTATTATGGTTAATTATTATTATTATTATTATTATTATTATTATTTGACACTAGATGGCGTGGATAGACCATTTCATTTCTTTCACGCACATACACCTCTGCATACACTAAGAAATAGGTGTATATCTATTTGAATAGATAGATGAGCCGATGGCTCACTTCACACGATCCGAAATTCAAGAGTCAGAAATAAATATTTGGGATTAATTAATGCATAGCTTAATTGAAGCTAAATAATCACGTACTTCAGCTATTAATAATAATATTATGTTGATCGACCCGCGTTTTAAAATGTTATCGCAGGGTATCTAATTTATGCTTAAAAACAGCTGCACAACCGAATCAAGACCATACTTTGGCGAAAAACGTTTATATTTCCAGTAAGAATCCTCCCATTCCTGACCATCCTCCATCCCATACCATCCGCCGACACATGACTCATAAGCCAGTCCGTCTAATCTACTGATCTCTATAATATAATCTATAATCTATATATCTATAATATATTATAGAGATCAGTGGTTTAATCGTCTAATAACGTAGGCAGCGCCGAACCGTTAGTCCATCTTGTATCTTGTATCTTGTATCTTGTATCTTGGGGTCCCTCTCTTGTATTTCTCAAGGCACTGATTCTCTCTTTGGAATGTGCGGGGAAATCCTGTAGATAAGGAAATTCTGTCTACAAGTTAGCATTAATTATTTTACTTTCTCTAATTGATAATGCCTTTCTAACATATTCTAGTGCTGGTTTTAGTATTTTCGGGTCATCACTTTTCCAATCTTCCACTCCTTCCCCTTTATTATACCCTCTATATACCTTACATGAGTATAAATGTTCCAAATTTTCTTTTTTCCTTTCGTCACACAAATCACACATATCATTACTGTAGTTATTTTTAAAATAACTTTTTAAGTTTAGCATGCACGTCTTACATCTAAACACAAAGCATGCATAATCAAATGACAGTTTTGTCATATATGGCTTTAATACATAGCTTTCTATATTTATCATTTTTATTTTTGTTTTCTCACCAGACCTCATGGTCTTCATGAGCACAATTATCACACCTTCTCTCATAATTACTGTTTTTAAAATAGCCTGCTTCACATATTTTTTTCATTCTTTCTTATGTTGTGAACCAATAGTCATAAGTGACATACTTATGTCATACTCCTTCAAGATTTCAAAAGCCTCCTTTGCCCAATTACTTCCAATTTCTTTAATTTGTTCTAAAAATACTATTTTCATTAATGTGTCATTTTCTAACTTAATAATGTATTGCAATAACATTAACTTTTTATAACATATTCTATCTTTTATTGGTATTATTCCACTTTCTATTCTTAGTGCCTCTAGTGGTGTCTTGTTGTGCGCTTCGAGTATCCTTCTTAAACATTCTTAGTATTCTTAAGGTCCTCCTTTGACCCTTTTCCTTTGTAAATTGCTTTTATAGTCATTTCATTCCACTCTGTAGGAACACTTCTCTTTTGCATTAGTAAGTTTATCATCATTTTCAGTGACATTTTTAGGTCGTCCCCTGCATTTATTAATAACTCGTACATTAAGCCTTGGTTATCTGGGGATTTGTTCCTTTTTAGTGAATCTATAACTTTCTGAATTTCGTTAATATTAGATTCACTATACTCGACTCTTCTATTCATATTTCTTATTTTCTGAAACATTTTTTCTACTGATTTAAAGAGTTGGCATTCTTTCTCTCCTACTGGAGTCTTAGTACTTAATAATTATTTAAAGTGTTCTACGTAGGCTCCTTTAATTTCATTGACTTTTTCTAACTTTACTTTGGGTTCCCCTCTTTTTTCCACTCCAAACATTTTATTTTCCTTTGCTGGGAGCAACCTTTTCCTTGTTTTCCAAAAGCTTCCCGAGTTTATTCCTCCCTGTTTTTGGAGCTCATCCAACTGCTCATAAAATTTTATTATTCTTTCTTTTTGTTGTTGCAGTCCAATCCTTCCATTGAGCATTCTTATTCTTTTATTTAGATAATAGGTTAGTTTTGTATTAATTACAAGTTTAGCTTGATTGAGCTTTTTCTTTAGTGAACGCTTGATATCAAAGAGAAACCTTAGTTTTTCACCGAGTATTGGTACACATCTTTTGGCAGACTTCTTAAAGCAAGCCAATGATTATGTCCATGTGTTCGTTATTTCTTCACGGCAACATGCACTCCAAGCAGAATACTCTTATTCCACAGACCATTGTATATTTTGTCTATTATTTCATTAGTATGATCATACATATATACGTACACAAACGCAAACAATTCAAGCACGGAGTAACCAAGGTCTAACAAATGAGAAATGTTTCTATTACATGACGTCACGATGAAAAGAAAGCATCGAGTGCGGATCGAGTGCCATTAAATAACGAGCAATATAACGGTTCATACGTTTAAACAATAATAATTCACTGTAATTTAAAAGCAATGGCATATTTTTTGATAATTACAGCTGTAAACAGATTATTTTGTCTAATTCAGAGTGTTTCGGAATCTAACAAGTTTCCCTGTCGGGTCTCACCAGCCAGTTTCAAGATGGCAGCAAGCATAAATAGTCTTGTTTGAAAGAAACTCTCAAACTTCGGCTGGGTATGTCGTTAAGAGGTTAGAGTGTGATAAACTGGTAAAGGCAAATCATCAATGAACTCAATACGTAGATGCAGGCGAAAAAGCGTTATCTCCTTGTGTTTATCAGCTGTGCTTTTTTACTGCTGTGTTACTTCGGAGGGTTTGTGTTGAGAAAGCATGGGGATCTACTATCTAAGTTCACCTTTAGTCCTCGTCTTCAGCCCTTCTGCGACACGGAGGACTTTCGCTACGATGAAGATATGCACGTGTCTCCTCGACAGCGGAGGGACGAGAGAAGCGCTGTATACAGAAATGAAAAGTGTCGCATGGAGACTTGCTTCGACTTCTCGAAATGTAGGGGCGATTTTAAAATTTACACATATCCCACCGAGGATAAAGTTTCGGGCAGTTACAGAAAGGTGCTCAACACCATACACCGTTCGAGGTACCACACCACCAACCCTGCAGAGGCATGTATATTCGTGCTCGGAGTGGACACACTCGATCGAGACGTGTTAAGCCCGGAGTACATAAAAAATGTCAAAACAATAGTGTATGCAAACAAATTGTGGAATAATGGCATAAATCACGTGATCTTTAACTTGTACTCGGGTACATTTCCAGACTACATTGAAGACCTAGGGTTTGACAAAGGGCTGGCAATATTAGCCAAAGCAAGTATATCGGAAGCAAACTTTAGGCCAGGTTTTGATATTGGTGTCCCTCTGTTTCCGAAGAATCACCCTGAGAAAGGTGGTGAAAGGGGATACTTGACTACAAATCATTTTCCATCTGCTAAAAAGTATCTGCTAGTGTTCAAAGGAAAGCGATATCTATATGGAATAGGGTCAGATACAAGAAATTCCCTTTACCACCTGCACAACGGGAGAGACATTATTCTGCTGACGACATGCAAGCATGGCAAGAACTGGAAGCAGGCGAAAGACAAACGCTGTGATGTCGACCAAGCTGAGTTCGAAAAGTAAGTGACTTTTCTAAGTTTTCATTTTAGTGGTGTGACTCCTTAAATCAAAACTGCTAATCATTGGCAGACGTGTAGAAGATGGCAAGTTGGGTCTAAAATATATCAAATCAGATAATTGCATTAACTAATGCTTTCATCGTGTTATCAATAAATCATTATATTTAGTGCGGTTAACATAAGTTAAATAATGTGTAGCTCTATCTAGAGTTAAAAGTTGCTATGGCGATTGGCCAAGTCGTAATCTGTCATTGTGTCTATCCATGGTTCAAGCTCACGTGGCTTTGTGTTAGAGTAAGTATATTCATGAAACAGCCATACATTATTCCTGAGTATCAAAAAGATGTTACTGAAGATGGTGCACAAAATATACTTTATATATATATATATACAGAAGTGGTTCAGTAATGTCACCAAGACATAATATTTTAAATTGCAGTGGCACAACATCTAGAAGCACATCAAACTCGTGTAGGTGATGCGTTATATATATATATATATATAGTGGTGAGTAAGTTCAGATGTTTCTGTATACAGAGGCCTTGGGTTTTCATTCATAATAAGTAACTCTGGACTCCTACTTGGTACACAGACATGCACAACACACCCATGGTGCGTGATTGTGCACGCACACATGCAGCCATGCTTAATGGCAAATTGCTGTATAATGCAATAATGCTACTGCATGAGGTTCGCGAGATGAAATCATTGAGGGAGCTGACATGAATGCAAAATTTCGATCCAGGCATGAAATGACCCGGGTGCATCAGAATTTACAAACACATGTGCATATAGGAACTACAGATGATTTACATCTATACACGAGTTCAACGTTACGAAAAAATGCCTCTTTATGAGAATTCAATGCAAGCTCCAGATGTGTACATTTAGATTTGGTGCAGAGCTAACAGGTAAAGCTGAACGCTGAACTCTTTCTATGGGCGCGTGTGTAGACTTGTGCGTTTGCGTTTGTAGTTTAATGAGCGTTTGTTGTGAAGTGCAGTGGCTCTCTGGTCGCCGTCTGTAAAGCTCACGGACTCGCTACTAGCATGCTGATGCTTTGAAAGTCGGCCGAGAGAGCAGCTCACTGTTTTCAGTGTGAACGCAGCTCAACATTCCATTAACGTTGAAAGTTGTCCAGACGCAAGTACTGATTGTTGTACTTTAGCAGGCCTCAGATTGGTTTTCCTACACTTTCATAATAATAGATTGGCAGGCACTTAGACTGCGTACGTTTATGACTGAGGGTTGTGAATATCGTGCAGGACATTACTGCCTGAAACACTTATGCAGGAATTTACTCATGTAAAATATCAGTTCTTGACGGGATCGGTGTTGCCTGGTAAATCGTTTTGCGCATATCTATAGGCATTCATGACACTGCAGCAACTCTTAATCTTATGTGCCAGTTGGCCTTGAGTAAGAAGTCTATTTTCCATATTAAACAGGATCTTTATTGTTCTCAAAGCAACGGCTGAAAATTTTTACACAATTTCTTATCGGTTTCTAATCGAGAGTGAGCCAAATGTGTTTGTAAGTCCCATTCGTTGATTAGTCAAGAGCAACGTCACTGGGCCTAAATTAAAAAGTTCGTCATGATTGGATTATAGTTACGTATTTGTTTAGCTTGAGGTTTGTATAAAGTTACACATCGCCAGTTTGTTGAGCCAAGGACGTAAAAGTAGTCTTGATCTTTTGTCGAAAAAGTGCTCTATCAAGCTAGTTGGCACTCCTGACAGTTGTTTAGAACTGTTAGTAATGTTCCGTATTTAATATGCACGTTGCGTCGAGGACCGGCACACCTTCAAGTCATTGCCTCACTCACAACATTGGTTCACGAGCCCAATGCAGGAAGGCACGTTGCACTATCTAACTTGTTATTATTTCAGTACGCATCTGTTTGCTTGCTTGGGTTTACTCCCCGAAGGCACACTAATACTATTATGTCACCATGTATCCGTTAGTTGTGGAAGCAATGGACATTGATGACTTCAAGTCACAGCTTCACCCTCACATGCCCGCATGCCGAGTTGGGAAGACAAATTGCTAAACCTAAGTTGTTATAAATTATCACGCCCCAGTTGGGTTGTTGTTTAGGTTCACTCCCCTACGGCAATACTAACTTGTCACCATATATGCAGTTTAATGGACACTTACAAGTATCAGAGCATAACACAACACCTCTTATGTTAGAAATAGTTGGTACGACATTGAGAGGCAATGTAATTATGTTGCTAAGGCTGTCGTGCCAAGAGACTGCATTATTTAGTTAACAAATTTATATATAAGTTACTGGAGAATTTAGCCACAATTTGCACCTGTATAGGTTTCTGACTATTTACCAATCGAAATACATCGAGGTTCAAATGTCAGTCGGGAAATCCTCGTATGACTGTGTCTTCAACGTACGTCTTTTCGTAGCTCTGTAGTTGTGGTATTCCGTATTTACAGTACATGCACGGGCATTTACGTGTACACACAACAATTAATATTTATCTCTCATGTATATATGAAAGCGCAATCTAATCGCACCAGCTTGCAAAATCAGCGTAACCAGAGGGGCGGCTATGATGCTATCGCCATCGCTTCTTTTGCACCCGCTATTTGGGAAGAATAATAAACAATTAGCGTGGAGAATATACCGAGGATCCAGTTTTGCCAGCGCCTACGGGCGGGCCGCCGGTCGTCTCGTAGGCAACTAATGTTTTGGGGGCGAACAGTCGTCAAGTGCTGCTCTACGAAGTTGGGAACATAACGGCTCTTTAAATGAGGACGTGCATACATGTTGTGCCCGGCTGTGTGTTATTATTGGGAAGCAGCGCGAACTGTGTTTGTAACCAACGCGGCGAGGGTGCTGTGGGGGTGGGGTTATGTGTAAGACGACGGGCAATGCGCAACAGTGGCAGCAGCAGCGGCTGCTTGTCTCGCAGTTGATGCAGCAGACATTTGCACACCGCCGTATTCGGTTATGCTGTTTGACCGCGTCGTGTTAACACGCTGAAGATGACCGATATGTTAGTGTGTGGTGTAGATAGTCTGCTTCCCGTGGTGTGTGTGTGTGTGATGTTCTGTATGCTTACAGTGGCGCGTGTGTGCGTGTCTGTGTGGGTGTGTATGTCTGTGTGTGTGTGCGTGCGTGCGTGCGTGCTTGTGTCTATGCGTCCGTGCGCGTGTGCGTGTCTGTGTGCGTGTGCGTGCGTGTGTGTGCGTGTGTGTGCGGGGAGGGACGTGCGTGTGTGCACTGTGCAGGTATGTGACGTACTGCCCATGAACTTGCAGTGCGCCGCGAAGAATGCTTCAGCAGTGGCATGATTAGTATTACCTATCGCGTTTGTTTCAGCGTTGGTTCGGACTCGGGATGTTACGGGTGTGTTAGTAATAACGCACGTAGTTAGCTTTAGGCTGTAGAGCCGGGTGCATTCTAGTATTTTTGTTTTGCTTGCCGTTTTTGCGCCGCGTATAGTCACGTTCGGAAACCGCGGCGTGTGCCATTTGCAGTTAGCAGTTAATCAGTAAAAGCTCAGGTGTGTTCAGCGATTCTTGTTTCCTTTATAATACAGCGCAGTCGACATCTATCACGCCTCATGGATGCATATCGTGCGTGCGCTGGATGAGATCACGATACAGAACGAATTCTCTAACTGCATGAAGTCGTCTTGATTCACAGTCATTTACTGGTAGATAGGCTGGAGAATTAGATGGCCTGGTTATAGACCGTGATTGCTCTTGTGTGTCGTGGTGTGCAGCATACTTGATTGAAATGCAGTTTTCGTGTAACGATCTAATATATGCACAACGGAGCGTCAAACGCGCACGCAAACGCACACACACGCGCGCGTGTAAGTCACAAAATCTTATTTGCATTACGCGAGAGTAGATGGTCTGCATATCGAACAAGATACGAGGCAATAATGTGAAAAAGAGGCAAAAATAAAGAGTTAGAAATCCGTCGAAATGAGATCCGTAGCCGGTAATCCCGTTCTGATTGTGCCCGTGTCAAGGGACGGTTTCGGTCGGTTTTATAGAGATACCCAGAGATGATAAGTTCTCTTGGCGATGTGAGATCAGTTGGAGTTCTTCGATCTTCATATGGAGTTTGTAGAGCTGGAGGCCATTGTCAGAAACAAAATTAGTCATAAAGTTAGTCTTTACATGAACTTTTTCTCGTAGGCGTTGACAGAAATTTGTTTAGTTAAAAGTTATGAGGAAATTGGCTAGGATTTTCCGTTCTGGTGACTTTACGTTGTTTTAGTCGTCGTCGTCGATGTGACCGTCTATCCTTGATAGTTTAAGAGAAAAAAGTCAAGATTAATGTTAAGACTAATTATGTTACTGATAAGAGGCCCTTTAAAAATTAAAATTAATGGCCGTTAATAAAAATCGGTCAAATGTGAGTTTTTTGTTTTCGTTGTTATTTTGTTAGGTCAGTCATAAGATTTGATATATATTTTGGATAGGATTATATTATGGGAGTATACAGATAATTAATATCTATAATTATGAAATTTAAAGTAATAGGTATATGTAGGGCCTATGCTGCCTTTCAGTTTCGTGATACGCATAGGTGCCATAGGAGCATATATAGGAAACTATATGACCTTCCTTCATAAACCGTTATCAGGAGGGGATGCATTTTTAGCTCACCTTGACATCGTCAAGCTGAGCTATTGCCATGGGTCGTCGTCCGTCGTACGTCCGTCCGTCCGGCCGTCCGTCCGTCTGTCCGTTCGTCAACATTTGGCTACGGTCAACGATAACTCAGGAACCGTTTGACCCACATGTTTTAAATTGGGTATAGTTGTTACTGCTATGCTCCCATATTAAACGTCTTATTTTGGAGCACGCCAGTTGACGTACTTTCGAGCCACGGCAATTTTTTGGCAAAAATGGGAATTGCCATTAGTCAGTTGAGGTTCAACGGATTTTACTCATTTTTGGTATGTGAATGAATAAGGGCTAGGGGTTTTGATATTTAACATTTTTTTATGCAAATTAGGTAGGGTTTGGCAATTATATAGCATATTATATAGACACGCTGATAACAAACAGTCTTTGGTGTCACACTCGTCTGGTTCGTTTTACAAGATTTCATTGACAATATCTTTAATGCAAAATTCGTGCTATGAACATAGTATGATTTATACTATTATTATTATATTATTATTATTATGATAACGCCATCTACCATCACAAATTGTGATTAATTTTGGTTTATAAATTATTTAGAATTTATATATAATATTATTTATTATTTTCACGTAAAAAAGTACACATAATTATCAAGAGTATATAATGGGAGTTCTCCCATATATACTCTTCGTTTCTATAATGTACGTCGATGGTTGCTCAATTAAAACTTGACTTCTCACTCACTCATTTGTGTCCTTTTTTGTGGTGAGCTACAGTGTCACTGACACTTTCATTTTAAACTTCCTACAAGCGATGCTTCGGGTGGTGTTAACAAAAGCAAATATTCACAAAACTGACGATGAATTATCAATGCAATCTGTCATAATTACAATTGACTAAACTATTCCACGATATCTCACGCAGACGTCTCCATTCGATCCCGCGACGTATCAGTGACTTTATATCGCCGAGCAAGATCTGGTTAAATGCAAACGAGTTGCAACGCTACAGGATCTTACTGATATTAAATGTCGCTCTGGTCTTATCGCTGTCACGATTGGAAATTTCATCGTAGTTCAAAGTTTTATCCTATATCTTTCTGGTACCATGTTCTTGCCGCAAAAATGCACGAACGACTGAGTGATAATATTATCCGTGCCGTGTAGTTTGGAAAGGGTTAAACTTCGCGTCGTCTGACAGCGCCGTCTGGATTGGGAAGGCGCGCACTGAATGTGCACCCGACAGAAGAACTGCGGCGGCAGTCGTCTGGTCAGTATATATACGCACGCGCGCGTTTCCCAAGGAAGCTAACGGAATGTACTGTGTGCATGAAGTCTGGGTCAGTCGAACAGCAGAGGCGCAGCTTGTTAGTCTCGTCTGCGCACCGCTATTTTTTCACGTCGGCAGGTGTTTTCCCCGCGTGTCCGTAGTCGCTGCCGACAACAATCTTGTCCCCCCCCCACTATTCGTCTGTGAGGCAGACGCGCCGAGTAGGGCGGCAGTGAACGTGAGGTGTGGGGACCGGGGCTTGGCGTTCCGCTCTCGCGAGCGCCGCGCGTTTTACGATACGGGCGAAACTACGTAGCGCGTGAAAAGGAGTGGAGCCGGGGGAGTAAACAGAGAGAGAGAGAGAGAGAGAGAGAGAGAGAGAGAGAGAGTTGTCGGACGGAGAAGGAAGCGTGAAAACGAGTTCTGCTTGGGCAGCTCGCGCTTTAGCGGCCCCGTCTGGCTGGCGGGATTGCACGCACCGCTCTAAGTCTAACCTGGGCGCGGGAGTTGTTTTTTTCCGGGCGGCCATATTTGTGCCGGTTGTCTGTCATTCCTCGCGTGCGACCGAAATAAGGCGTAGTCGGTAGTCAGTTCATTACTCATCGACATTACCTTGATGTTCGGCTGGCGGTGGTGGGAGGTGGGGGATTCTATAATCTGACAATTAACAGGTGCGAGACTAGTCAAGTCACGCACGCGGACCCACGAGGGCCGGCTGGGCCTGGCATTACTTGTGTGTCAGGTTTCAAATGTGCCTGCCCGGGCCCGACAATGCGTGACCGGGGGGTTCATGCGAGGGCCAGTTCCCAGACCTTGTCACAGTGGCGTGCAGTTTATGCTAGATATTAATCTGCCCGAACAAACACTCTGTTAAACAGCACAAAGAATAACTTTCCCTCACACGGACGGCTTTATACAAGGACGCACCGCGAGTGCTAAACGAAACTCGATTTCGAGTTTAAACAAAAAATATACGAGAAAAAAAACGAAAACACATAAACGAGAGCGTGGAGGGGTGCGGGTTTTCAGTTTCGCACAATGTCGTCTACAGTTTGCAGTGTTGTGCATGGCGTGTTGCGATGCCACAGCTCGGTAAGGGGCGGGTCATCCCCATCCCACATGTGATGCGCATCTTAATCTAGCGCGGCGTGGTGACTGACTACAGATGGCGTTATAGCGATGGTAGAGTAAGGTGGACCAGGAGCGAGAGCTGCGGGGGTGCCGCGTCTTCATACACGCCTACTTGTTGCCGCCGGCTGAGCCTTTAACAGTGATTACTTATAAAAGAAACACACTTCTGTATACATACATGTGTGAAGATGACAATCTCGTTTAGTGGTGTGCGTGTACTTGTGCGTTTGCGTGTATTCACAGGTGTGTGTGCGTGCGTGCGTGCGCGTGCGTGTGTGTGTGTGTGTGCGTGTGTTTGTGTGCTCTTGTCAAATATTAGGGAGCAGTGAGTTAAGTTCCCGTGAACGTGAGATATAAACGTCTAGCTATGAACATCGCTGCCGTGCTATTATTATTATACGAGTAATAAAATCGATGTATCTATCAAGCTTTGTTGCGGCACACCGCCGCTATCAAGCATATCACACGTAGAATGGTAAAACAGCGTGTAACACCTGCAAGATTAAGACATGCTGCTCACGTATTTTCCGTATCGCTTTAAAATCGAGACTGTTAATACTGATAAACATTCTCATACACACCGCATCATTGATGCGAGAGCCGTGAATAGTCATGGGCTGTATTTCAGTGCTTCAGTGTTAGATTAGGACCAGCCAGCCGGCACGTATTTCGCTCGGCCCTGCAAACTTGTTCCGCGACGGCGAGATATATATATATAGCATGTATGAGTATGATTCATGTCTGGTGTCCAACATGATGTGACCTAATTCGGCTCGTTGAGGCAATTTGTTTTCCATCTCAGACGCTGAAAAATGCTGTCTGCACGTAATTAAGCGGCGAGGTTGGAGCTGGGCCTGTGTGAGCCACAAAGCATCTTCTGGTCGCCATTCCTCCCGTACGCAGTTACGCTTACGTTCGTTCTTTAATATATTCTTGTCGCATTCTCTCGCATTTTCACACGTCGTTTCGTCTGTTCTCTTTCACGGCCTGGGCAGGAAATGAAACTTGGCGGGAAAAGGATTAGAAGTGGTCAAGGGTTTGGATTAAGAGTGGATTTGGACGGGTATTAGTGAGAGGGATAATGTGGGACAGTGACAGGGACAGAGTACAGAGGGCAGACGGCTGGGGATAGGGGGATAGCATGAAAGGTAGGGATAGGGAGAGAGGAAGGAGGAGTGGGAGAGCGGGAGAGGAAGAGGGAGTGAGCGAGAGAAAGAGGGAGAGAGCGAGTGTAGTACGGCGTTTTAGCTTTGAGATGGAGACATGGGGAATTTGGCACATTACTCATGCAAATGTTCAGGGACGGCCGGCGATGGACCCAGAAGACATTAGCTACATACTTAAGAGCACACATAATTCAGCGTGGACAGAAGGCATTTTAGAATAGCTACATAATGAAGAGCTCACATGGACAGGTTTTGCTAGAAACGGAGAGACGACGGCAACCCCTAACCGGTACGTGTACACTGTTTTGACTGTGCTGTTTATCCGTATTTATAATAAAACTGTAGTTGTCACCGTTTATACAACTGTTACTACCTACTGTCTACGTTCGAGATATATTCAACACTACACGAGAAAGAAGAGTGAACGGAAAAAGAAGCGAAGGGAATGATATAGCAGGATGATAGCTATAGCAAGGCAATTGGTTCGAAAATGACTTCGAACCGGCCGGGGAAGGGTAAGGGTTAGAGTAAAGCTGGACAGGTATTAATCGGCTGAGAAACTGCTAATGCTGCTCTGCTCTCCACGGGCGTTTGTCTCTGTCAGCCGTGTCGTTGCAATGCAGGTATGTATACATGTATATATAGGAGACGCCGAGTAATGCTTTCTCGTTCCTCCAAACTGAAACCAGTATTGGCGCGCCTTGACATTTTAGTTGGAGACCTATCCATCACATGATTCGCCACCCGAGGTGATGTTGAGATGAGTTTGCTTGCGCATCTGCATACGTACCTGTCCGCTGCCCTGCTTATTACCTCTGGCTGTGGAAGTCTTCCCGATGCTTTAACTGCACGAGGAAGTTGTGTGAGAGAGAGAGAGAGAGAGAGAGAGAGAGAGCGAGAGAGAGAGAGAGAGAGAGAGAGAGAGAGAGAGAGATCTGGGCGCGTGCAATCATGAAATGCATCGGTATGTGCGACATGAAAGTGTTACCCACCGGCACTGATGCGATTGCACGCATCAGCAAGGCGCAAGGTGAGGGGAAACGGAAGTGATACGTTACACGTGCAAGGACAGCATATTAGCGCTCAGACAGGTGTGGCCTTCGCTAGCCTAGTGAAGAGAGCAGTCAATATCAGATATTCTACCTG